TCCAAAAGAAGGAAGAGGATGAGCCCGGAGTTTTTTGAACACCTTCTATTGGACTCCCAGGTATCTTCAGGACCTCCCACCTTGACGAGCCTTGAACGCTGCCGCGAGTAGTTTTCCTGGCACTCGCCAGGAGACCCTGGTCAAGGAGTGGGTTTGGCCGTGCAAGGGACGGGCAAGAATATGTCCGGCACACTTCGTGGTTTGTAGCACCAAATGACAAAGAATCCGGATTCCCAAGCGGAGAGGAGAGACGGAGGAGAGACAGCAGTTCATGATGTCCATAAATCCAGCCAAAAGGGCTGTCCTGTTGACTTAGGTGAAGTTGAGCTTAGAGCCAGGCTCTCCTTTGATGTTGGCAAAGGAGCAAGCAAGTCCAGCTGTTTCTGTACAGTCAGCCCAGCAGGAATTTGATGGAAATTAGCTGCAGACTTCCACCGCTAAACAGCAAATAGCATCGCGGAAAGAGGTAGTCCCTCTAGGGGGCCCGCATCCAGGCCGACCCTTGGGTTGCCACCCCTGCCAATGCCACTGCCTCATTCATGTCCGGACCCTGTCGGAGGCTCCCTCGTTGCCCGGGAATGCAAAAGATAGCAGTTAGGGAGTGGTTCTCCCAGTTGTTCAGTGGCACTTCTGTCGTCTTTTTCACTGGGCGAGTTTCCGGCCCCAAAGGGGGCTTCAGGCATTTTTACTAGATGGTTGTAAACTTTGGAAGTCAGACATGCGTGTCGCGCCCTAGGTGTATTTGAAGCTGGATCTTCGGGGAATATCCATGAGTGGCAACAGTATGCTGCCAGCAGCCCTTGACTTAAAAGCAACATATTCAAGCATTTTCATTTGAAGTCGCATGTTGACACACCTGCACGCACCGCCAGGAGATCGTGTAAGACGATGGGATGGGTCCCCAAAGCGCTCGGCTGGCGACAAGGGAGTCCATTGCTGGTGGCCTACTGGCAACTTACCAAAGCCACCCTTAATAACCCTGACCGACCCCGCTCTCAAGCAAGCATAAGTGATTCCAAAGCCTCCCGAAAAGCGACCTGAAGCCAAGCCTGAACTTATCCTGCACCCGCAATTGTAGTTTCCCTAAACCAGCCCGGCAAGAACCCCAAGCCCCAGATCCCACCCTAAACTCTAAACCCCACCCCGAAAACCCGCCCTTAGCCAACTAAACCAACCCAGAATACCCCAACCGACCCCAAACCAACTGAAGCCACCCTGAAGCCTCAACAATGCCCTAAGCCCACCGCTTACATGTATCTCGCATTCACCCCAAAGCAACCTAATACCTTATAACCTCAACCCCACTCAAAGACACCGTCGAGAACTCACAAGTCACCCTACACGCCATCTACACGCCCCTTGCCACCCTAAAACATGTCTCACATTCACCCCAAAGAAACCTCATATCATACCTGCACCGCCCGACACCAACCCACAACCAACCAACATCAGCCTTACAAGAACGCCTAAACCCTGCCTGAACAAAGCTATGATAAACCTACCCTGACTAACCCAGCTGACCCTAAACCCGTCTACTGGCATGGCTTTACGGGGGTTACTTTCCCGCTAGAAATCAGTCGGAACCTCTTGCGTTTCCCCGAAATGGAACCGGAAATCGATTTGCCAATGCACAGGGGCCAGCACGAGGACACTCACGCGCTTAGCAGAAAAAAGACGAAAATTCGGCGTGGCTGGAGGCCGTGCCGGGTGGCCGGAGATCGGCCGGAGATCGCCTGTGGTACATGAAAGGCTGGAACATGGAGTCTAAAACGAATGCTGGTGAACCTCCCAGGAAGATTGCATGCTTTTCGTACTCAGAACAGCACCGGACCCGTGTGCCGATGCGAATGATTCACGCATCTTGTACCTGGTGTCGTAGGCCCAAGACGCAATTTATGTTTCCTGTTGCCACAAGCTCCTGCAAGTGCGGGAAGCTGAAGACGTTTTGTCCCTTCTTGGGTGGGACTCTTCTGCCCTAAGTGGTCAGACAAACCAAAGTTCGCAGCGCATGTTTCATGTCCAAGGCCGGCATGTAAAGTCGCAAGAGAAGGGGCTGTCCTGGAAAGCAAGAGTTTCCTGTCTTAGTCAGTGCAGCAAAGTTCAGGCTGAAAGCTTGGAACGTTTGCAAACACAGTAGCGCTAGCCGTCCGAGGTTAAGTGTTTGAGGTTGTCTCGCGGGAGTATCGGATGCGTGCCGCAAAGCGGGGGGCTCGGGGAAGGCCCGGAGGACCCCTCAAGTGGATACTTGTCCCAAAAGAGGCCAGCCCCGGTTAGTAGGTACGTGGCAAATGGATGAATGACTGAAGTGTTTTTTTCGAACCAAACTTACCTGAGCAAAAGGAGTTCTGCCTTGGGAATCCTTAGTGACCCCTGGGGTACCACAGGCGATCACAATGTGATGACATGTGCATCATTGTGGATCACATATGAGAGCGGTCGATATTTGCAGTCGTCCACTGTAGTAAAGCGGGTGCCTTGAGCACACTCACCAGGAGACTACAAGTTAAAGGAACTAGTTGGGGACACTATAAATATTGACCGTGGCTCATATCTTGAACGCTTGACCTGCGGGTACCGAAAAAGGCGCGAGGGGGACAGAGGGACGGAGGCGGAGGCCCGGCTTTGGCCGGAGCGGGTTTGGAGACCAAAACCCTCCCTTCGGATCTCGATGCGCGCTGTGGCTCAGAGGGGGTCGGGCTACACCGCGAGGCCCGGGACCCAGAGTTGCAGCTTAGTGCCAACCCCCTCGGGTGGGCGAGTCACCATGTTAATTGAGCACTTGTGATGGTCCTTGCAAGGGTTCCGAACGAGCCTGGGGACAAGTGGTAATGAGATGCAACGACTGCGAGGAACCAGGAACCATGCTGAGCAGGGCCCAAAATCCGTTGACCCTTGGTGTTGGCCAAAGTTGCCCAGAAGGTTACAAAGGCTCCCCTCCCCCCGATATAGACATCGGTTTGCTGTACATGAGCTTTTGTTTTCTCAGCCTTGAAATGACAGGTTCGAGAGTGCCTCACATGAAAGTATCGTGTCGGCGCGATTCAAGCATCGACCATCAGGTTCGAGGGGAGGTCGCACGAAGTTTCCTACGCGCCCCTTGTAATCGGTTATTCAGGCATTCAGTTGTTCAGTGGAGCCCCTTGTGGGTTCCCCCTTTCTGTTTTTTAGTTCCCATGGGTCCCATGGTCACCTCCAAAGCTTGCCGGTGCTTAGTAGGAAATGAGGAAATGAGGGAAATGAGGAAACCATAGGGGATGGTTGAAAGTGCTGATTCCCACTTCTCATTCCCTGCATCTCTCGCAGCAAGAAAGAGAAACGGCCGGAACCGAAGCGAAGCCATCCGTCCCGTGGGAGGCCTGGCAAGGCGCCATGATACCTTTGCCAGGGCCCAAGTCGGGACATGGGGAGGGCCCTGGGTGGCTCACTCCCGGAGTTACTGGACTTTGAGTTTTTGGAGAAGACATTTTAGCGGTAAATTAACAAGTTTGAACCTTTTCAGGGGCAAACCACTCAGGAAGTGAGGTGGACATCATTTAGGTGGATTTGTGTTCAAAGATCTTTTAAATCAGGTTTTCAACCAGAAAATGACAGGGCCAATTGGGGGTTCATGATGTGTGATGTTAATGTTCTGTCAGGGCTCCCAAAGCCACTGGAGAGAATCTTGCGGTTTGTTGCGGTTTGTTTTGGGGGGTGTAGTCCAATGTTTTTGTCCTTTAGGTGGTGCAGGATTTCGTCCACTGTTTTTTTGGCCCAAGGTGCCTTGCTGAAATCACTGTGCCGTTAGCTTCTGACAAAAAAACAGCTTAAGGCACGAAGAACGGATTATCCCTGAATAGTGCATTGATTCTGCACAACCTCCCCCACAAGCTGTTTCATTTCGTGGTGCGAACGGATTTCGATTTCAACCACAGTAGCGATAGGTAGCATCACCCTGCGCCCTTGGCTGGTAACTTGCACTTCCTCTCAACGGCCGGATCGATCGCTCGCAGCGACACAGGCCCAGGCAGCAAGTCAGGGCCCCGGAACTTCAGCCGAGACTCCAAAGGCCTCGGCTCTGTAGGGTCGGACCTTTTCAACCAGCTTCAGTGGCGTCAATGTCCGGCAACCGCAAGACGAACCTTTGATTTGGACGATCAACCAGGGGGGTTGCCCACGTGTTTTTCCCGGCCGTGCTGAGAGGGTATGCCCAAAAAGCCTGAACAGATATCAACGGGCTATGGAAATTGGGTCCAAGTTCACGGGGGCGGCTTGACGCAGTCGGACGGCAACATGATGGCAAGCCATCATTGCAGGGCTTCGCATATTGGAGCATTCCCACCTGCAACGACTGCCAGTCTGGCACCACTAGCGGCCCAAGAGCTGAAGGTGATGGTGGCTTGCTTAAGTTTATCAACTTTGCTAAGTTCATATTGCAAAGCTCGGGTTTCTGATCGGGTGTTAGAGGGGAGGGCTCAAGGGGGCATCATTAAACATGCGCCTCGGCCATTTGAGACCCACTGTTGCTCAGCAATGCTTCGTAACACGTTGTAAGGGCTAGTAAGCCTCAATGAGTGCATTTGAGCAAGACCGTTGTTTGAGGGCAGTGAGCTTAGCAAGGATCTTGCTGAGATGTTCAGGCTTGGCCAAGACAACTTTCCACGCCCTAGCAGAGTGGGTGCATGTTGAGCCTTGCTGAGCACTACTGAGAGTTTTGGTGTGTTACTGAGTGCTACCGAGCGCGTGGGTTTCGCTTGCGTTGTTTGACAGTGAGATTTGGCAAGCCATCATGATTTGATCAATCTGACCCCTCCCCCCCCCTGAACCAACTCCCCCTCCAGCACCCTATCAGTTTCACAGTTTGGAGAACTTGAAAACAGATCAGCTATCTCCATCCGACATGCCCTGGGGTCAATCCGTGCGATCCGTATGCAACCGACATTTCACGCCGATTCAGCTCAAGTCAGAAACTTGAGTGCAAGGCCAGGCGTTGCCTGGCGCTTTTATGTACGTGAGCCATAGCTATGGCTTGCATCGCTTCGCCAGTGGCGATTCGGAGGCCCTCGCCACTCGCTTAGCCATGACTTTGAGACATTTCAGTCAGAGGTTAGGGGGATTTATGTCATATGACAGGGATGTTTAACATATGACTTACTACTTGTGACAACATAAAGGGAATTATGAGATAAGGCACAACTCTTCAGGTGGCAACGAACCAAGGCCAGTGATGGTGAACATGGTGCCTAAGACTGTGGTGGTGGCCTCACCGGTGCCCAGCGCCCGCACCACGCTGCCCCAGCGCAGCCCCCACGCGGTCAGCAACAAGACCCTGAGCTGCAAGGGTCGCAGCTCCCGTTCTGCTGGAGCATAGGTGCTAAGTAGAGGGCCCCCTTTACAGGCTACTCGAAAAGGACAAGTTTGAGAAGCCAGGTGTCTTTTTGGAGCTTGGATCTTTGTCCTTGAGCGAGCCTGATCTGTCATATGGGTGTGGGTCAAAAAAAACATCCGGGGACCGCAGATTTTTGTCCATGTGGTCTATTTACGAGGGTTCCATCTTGGGTACCAGTTTTTGACCCACGGCCATATCTTTGGGACGGCGGAGGAATCTGGGTCACTACATCCTGGGAAAGACCATCGGCGAGGGGACCTTTGGAAAAGTGAAGCTGGGCAGGCACATCCTCACTGGCGAGCGGGTGGCTGTGAAGGTCTTGGAAAAGGACACCGGGGCGCAGGGGCCGGGGCAGGGGCTAGGGAGGGGTGGGTAGCATAGGGTAGTCAATTTGTTTGGGTGGGTGTCATTGTGGGGCTCAGCCATATCCACCAAGCAAGTTTTGGCATCAACCAACCCAAACAACTTGGCTTGCTGTGCCTGTGCAAAGCAATGCCACTGGCCCTTACAGGAGTTGCAACCCGTTTTTGAGACTTTGCCTGGAACCTAAACGTGAACCCATGTCAGTTCCAGGTCTTTTCAGACATGTTCCCAGCCCAGAGACTTCTGACAGGTAGAGCGCAGTTGTTTTTGCGTTTTCAGCGTTGCGCTTGCCGCCTAGTGGCTTGCGGTTCGTTGTGCAGGGCAGATCGTGTAGAAGTTTCGGTGACCCAGTTGTTCCTTTAGGGTCCGCTGAAGCCAAACAACAAACAGCACTGCATCCAGCACTTGTCATATCGAGCATGCCAGTCACACAAAACTCACCGGCATGTTTTGCCTAGAAGTACCAAGGGTCGACCCTTGCAAAACCTTTCTTCCTGAGGACTGATTCAGGTGTCCAGGTACTTTCGTAAATCTCCCACCGAACCCGGGGATGTTTTGGTTGGACGCCGGATTCATCAACTTGGCGACCGCTGTATTCAGAAGCCAGGGGTTATTGATCCTGGCATGGTTGCTTACCCATCCTTGCGAAACATGGCCCTCCAAAAGATACGGTCCCCTTGTTTCCACCGAAGCAGGTCACAGGTTGCAACCTGACGCCACCGCGCCATTTCCTTGTGGTTTCAGCATGGCCAATTTGGGCCACTTCGGTCAGTGAGTGTCCTGGTGGGGTGATACAGGAGAAAAACCCACCCTGAGTTCCATGAAAATAACTCGCCGAGGAGCGAATTCAAGAGGTGGCAGACATCGAGCGGGTGGCCCGGGAAGTGCAGCTCTTGAAGCTGATCCGCCACCCCCACGTGGTGCAGCTCTATGAGATCATAGAAACCAAGGCCTCAGCCCCCATGAAAACCGAGGAACCGATTCCCTACTCGTTTGCAACCAACCATCCCTGTTCTGTGGTGGTTTCTTGAAAGGAAGGATGGACACCAAGACCTGGCCAGCACTGAACATTGTGATCTGCAAAACGGCCAATTGAACAAGGACCAGGATAGTTACAGACACCATCGCCAGTTTTGTTTGGGTAAGCCCCAAGGTGTCATGTGAATGTGACCCATTGGCTTACCCAGGGCCAGCTGTACTTAATCATGGAGTACGCTTCTGGTGGAGAACTCTTCGACTACATCGTTCAAAACCAGCGCGTGCCTGAACCCGAGGCGAGGGCTTGAGAGATGGCGGCTGGGGGTTGAGGGCGAGGGCCATGGGTGGCTCGTCCTTTTTTTGAAGGTACCGCCTTGTGTTTTGTGGTTAAAAGGAAAACCAAAGGAAAACCATCCTGTTGGGGGGTCCCCCCAAAAAATGGCACTCCCATGTATTCATTTGCTTGGCAACATTGATCAATACCGGAAGTCTTGCCCTAGTGCCAACGTATTTTGTGATGTACGGAGAGGGTAGAATAAGTGGGCCCACTCTGCGAGGGCTTTGGAGGGAAGCACGAACCGTGCACTTGTTGTTTCATTGGGCTCCGTCAGACACATCCTGACCGATGATTCGGACCATAAGCCATGATGAAGCTTGTTTTTTTTGTTTCAATTGCGCGGACTCTTAAAAAGGTCCTCGGATATGAGCCTATGCTAGCCTATGGGTAGCAGTAGGGCTTTGGTGAGCCATCGCCCATGCGGCTGCAAGGCGGCTCCGGACAAATATCAATGCGCAAAGGCATGTGTAAGCCAAGGTTATGCCAACAACGGAATGGCAACATACAACAATCCGACGGTCACCCACTGTACATTGCATCCAGGGCATGCGGGCATGCGTTGCAATACCTTCTAACTCGACCATGAGTGTTTGACCCCTCACACTTCCCAAAAGTTGCAGGGAATATAACAAGCGATTCCTGGCGAAATCCTCACTTATGGAAGGATTGCCGCAGTCTTCCGGTTGGATGCCTCGCATGCTGCTTGCGCGTCTTGCATGCACAGCGTGCACTGTTCGAAAACGGATCGTGCAAGCCCTCAAGCGTTGAGGAGATGTCCAACCGTCACAGCCGCAATCACGGAGGCTGGCGTGGCCATGTAGCGGAACGAAACGGAACCACAGTGGGTGTGGTAGCCATGCTGGCTGCCGCCGTCATGTCATCCATGGCGGTGTCTCCGGCTCTCTCAGCGACTTCCCGAGGATCACAAAGGGTTTGCCTTCTGGCCGCGCCATGGCTCCGTGCTCGGGTGGCCTGTGGTGGCTCCTTTGCTGGGTGGCCTGCGCGCGGTCCAGCTGCTGGGCTTGGCAGCCGCCAGCGCCCGTGGAGAGGTGTGAGCTTCGGCATGGCGGCCTGGGGCGCGTTGGCCGGAGGCAGAGGCGTGTGCTGACGGCGGCCTTGAACCGGCACTGGGGGCACGGCGCGCCCCGCGGCCAGGCTTGTCCCCGCCCACGTTGGAGGCACATTCGCAGCCTGCGACGTCTTCCCCTGGCTTCTCGCTCGGCCTGCTGGAGTGGGTGGCCGTGGCATGGGATTCGTGTGGGGGAGGCTGCCCGCCCGGGGCCGCCTGCTCCTGGCACCCCAGTGGGGGGTGAACGGGCATCGCCCATGGAGGTGGATGAACGACGGGCTGCTCGGGAGCGCTCGCCTCCTCGCAGCTCTGGCTCCGGGCCTCCGCCGGCAGTGGCGGGACCCGCCGTCCGGTTGTATTGCCCCGTGGCGGGATGCCCCGAAGCTGTGGCCGCCGCGGCGCCTGGCTGGACCTCCCATGCCAGCATGCGCTGTCACCTCAATGAGCACTGTGCGGGCCGGCTGGCGGGCGCGGTGCCTCCAGCTTACCTGCAGCAGCAGCGCCTCACCCAATGCCAGGTGTGCCATCGGTTGTTGGCGGCCCGTTTCGGGGATGCTTGCCCGCGGTGCCGCCCTGAGTTGACACAGCCCCAGGCGGCCGCTGGCCGCCCGCTTGATCCGGGGTGCCCTTCGTTGGAGGAGTGCTTCCTGAAGCGGGTTCCTACCAAACCCGTTGTACCCAAGGAGGCGCACGCCCTGTGGTCTCAGTGCCTTCTCCTCGCCCTCTCGCAGGTGGTCCGCTTCAATGACGAGCGCGCCTGGCTTGAACTCTTCATGCTTCCCAAAGCTGTGCTGCGCACACAGGGACGAGGAGGGGCCGGCCGCCGGCGGACGGACACCAAGGACCTTTGCCGCTGCTGGTTGGAGGGCCAACGCGCCGCCGGCACCAGGGCAGAGCTTCCAAGCCCCGCCGGGCCCAGCCAAGTCTGACGCCGGAGGAAATCTCCCAGCGAGTGTGCCGCCTGGTGGAGCAGGGGCAGCTGCAGAAGGCTTGCAATGCATTGACCCAGCCTGCAGCCGTGGAGGCCACCCCGGAGATTTTTCAGGAAATGCTCCGCAAGCACCCCGCCCCCCGGGCGGCTTTGGATTGGGCCCGGCTGCGCCCCGTCCACGGCGCAGCCGCGCCCACCATCACCCCGGACATGGTGCAGCGCGCTGTCCGTTCCTTCCCGAATGGCTCTGCTGGCGGCCCCACCGGCCTCAAGCCGCAGCACCTCCTGGATGCGCAGGCGCCAGGCCACACCGATGAGCTGTTTCGCTTGCTGGCGCTGGTGGCCAAGGAGCTGGCCCGCGGCAGTGCCCCCCCTGCTGTGCGGCAGTTGCTTTCTGGTGCTTCTCTGGTGGCGCTCCCCAAGCCGGGCGGCGGTCACCGGCCCATTGCTGTCGGGGAGGTGCTGCGTCGTGTGGTGGGCAAGTGCTTGGCTGCTGAAGTGCGGGATCAAGCGCGGCAACACTTGGAGCCCCGGCAGGTGGGGGTGGGGACACCTGCTGGTGCTGAAGCCGTGGTGCACACCGTGAGGCAGTGGGTTCGGCGCCATCGCAGGGATGCCGGCCGCGTCCTTGTCAAGTTGGATTTGGAGAACGCCTTCAACGCGGTTGACAGGCAGGCGGTGTTGTCCGCGGTACGGGCCACTATGCCGGGTTTGACTCCGTGGGCTGATTTCACCTACGGCGTTCCTTCTTCCTTGTGGCTTGACGGGCAGGCAGTCCCTTCCCAACGAGGAGTCCAGCAAGGGGATCCTCTGGGCCCGCTCTTCTTCTCCTTGGCGCTGGACCTAGCCGTGGACAGAGCTTTCCAACGCCTCGAGCAGGAGTCCGTGGGTTGCCTGGACCTTGCCGTGTTCTACTTGGATGACGCCACCCTGGCTGGGCCGGCGCCGGCTGTTGCGCGGGCCTGCTTGTTGCTCGCCGAGGAATTGGCCGGCATTGGCCTCCGGATCAACACGTCCAAGTCGGAGGCCGTGCCCACGGCGCCGTCCCTTCACGGCGGACAGGGCCACCAGCACTTGTTCCCCACATTCCAGTGGCGGGCCAGTGGCGACTTCGAACTTTTGGGAGCGCCGGTTGGTGCTGACGCTTTCTGCGGCCAGCACACGGAACAACGCTGCGCCGTTGCTGGATAAGCTCGGGACTTTGGACGATCCGCAGGTGGCTCTCCAGCTCCTCCGCCACTGCGCGGGGTTTTGCAAGGTTGCCTACTCGGCTCGGGCGGTCCCACCACACCAGCATGTGCCCGCCTTGGAGCGCTTTGACGAGCGAGTGCGCCACGCTTTCGTCAACTGCACTGGGGCGCCGCTGTACGAGGGGGCTTGGCGCCGGGCCACACGTGGGGTTCTTCATGGCGGACTCGGTCTTCGCAGTGCTGCGAGGCATGCCCATGCAGCTTACGTGGCGTCGCTGCTCGGGGCCAGGGGCCTGGCTGGCCGCGTTGATGCGGCTTGGGAGGCCGAGGGACTGCCCGCTCTGGCAACTTTGCAACGAGCCTTGGAGGAGCTCAATGCCAACCTCTTGCCGGCGGCCAGGCTGCCGTGGCCATGCGAGGAGCGCCCTCGCCAGCAAGCTCTGTCGCGCAAGCTGGATCGCGCGTGCCTTGATGCTGAGCTTGCCACCGCGGATGCGGCTACCAAAGCCCACCTTCGCCTGGTGGCCTCCGATGGTGCGGGCGCGTGGCTCCACGCTTTGCCCACCACTGACCCGGCTACGCGCTTCGGCCCGGAGCTCTTCCGCATTGCGCTCCGGCGCCGCTTGCGCGTTCCTGTCCAGGAGCAAGACACCCCTTGCGTTGCGTGCGGCAGGGCCATGGATGCTTGGGGTGACCATGCTCTGGTCTGCAGCTGCCGTGGCGACCGGACTTTGCGCCACAATGCTCTGCGGGACCTGGTGTGCTGGATTGCCAAGCGAGCCGGATGCCAGCCGGAAAAGGAGAAGGCGGGCCTCCTACCCGGCCGTCCGGACCATGACCGGCTGTTCGAGGATGCCACCATTGGGCGCCGGCGTCCTGCGCACATCTACCTGCCCCGTGGGCGCGAAGGGCAGCCTGTGTGCTGGGACTTCGCCGTCACGTCTGGGCTGCAGGCCCAGGATTTGCACGGGTCCGCAGCTGGTGCCGAGTCCGTGGCTGCGCGGTACGAGCAGCGGAAGCGGGCGCACCTGGGCACCGAGGACCTTTGCAGATCCAGCGGCTTGCAGTACGTGCCGGTGGTGCTCGAGGCGCACGGTGGTTCCTGGGGGCCGGCTGCCAAGAAGGCTTTTGCCTGGCTCAGTCAGGCTTGGGGGGCCGCGGAAGGCTTGTCGGGCGGGCAGGCGGCGGAACAACTAGCGCAGCGCATCTCTTTGTCCCTTCACCGGGAGAACGCGCGCGCGGTTGTCCGTCGCCTGGTGCTGCCTGAGCCTGGCCATGCTGATAGCGGTCCGCTCTGGCCGCCGTTTGCTGCTGACGATGACCCTTTGTGATCCTCGGGAAGTCGCTGAGAGAGCCGGAGACACCGCCATGGATGACATGACGGCGGCAGCCAGCATGGCTACCACACCCACTGTGGTTCCGTTTCGTTCCGCTACATGGCCACGCCAGCCTCCGTGATTGCGGCTGTGACGGTTGGACATCTCCTCAACGCTTGAGGGCTTGCACGATCCGTTTTCGAACAGTGCACGCTGTGCATGCAAGACGCGCAAGCAGCATGCGAGGCATCCAACCGGAAGACTGCGGCAATCCTTCCATAAGTGAGGATTTCGCCAGGAATCGCTTGTTATATTCCCTGCAACTTTTGGGGCTGTCAAGGCACAGCCCAGCCAAATTCATCAATGACATTTCTAGGCGCCTCAACTTGTTCAGTTGTGGCCCTTGGACCCTGCCACCTTTGGGTGCCTTTTTTGGCTACCCCGGTGGGTTTCGGATTTGAAGCTTAGTTTGGTTCAGTTGGCGCTTTACTCGTGGAAGTCACTCACACTTCCGCTGGATGGATTCCACTACTTGGTGCTGTGGAGGCAGTCGGTCCAGCAAGTTGGGAGCACCCTGCGCGTTCCCCAGGACCCCGAATGACATGGCAAGCTCTGGGCGCAAGTGCCTAGGGAGCTTCAACAGTTACTAAGCTACAGCTCGCCTTCCTTTCTGCAGAAAAGTCAATCCCACACGTGTGTTCAAAAAACAAACAAGTCAACCTGCAACCTCAATAGACATTCAGGGCGAATCGTTGCTGAGTGAATCCCAGTGCGTTTGAATTGCTTGGTGAGCATTCGGTGAGAATGTGCAATCCACTGGTCACTTGCAATTAGGGCGGTCGCCACCTCGCCCTGCCCAGTGCTTTTGTGCAGATCCTTTGCATTCGTTTTGCGGGGCCCGCGCCTCGAAGGAGGAAAACAAAAAACGGATCGCCGAGTTCGTGGCGCCAGGCGTG